GAAGATACTGAGACAAAGAGAGAGATAATACTCTTGAAAAATAATTTCATGTACATTGCTTCATTTGGTCTGAGTGACAATACCACAATATAGATAGGACATACATTATTGTTCTCATTTTGAAGCTAAAGATACTTGAGAAACAGGGTAGTTACCTGACAATTAACTACCTTTGGACATTAGGCAAATCACTTGCATTGCTGATCCTCTATTCCAACCCCTCTAAAATGAGAACATTGGACTTATAAGAAGATATAAGATATAAGGCTGTATAGTTTATCTATAAACACCATCAACACTCTAAATTTAAGGCCCTTGACTTACTCAAACTCTCACAGCAAATGACAGAGCTGGGCATAGATTCTAGGTTTTTTGACTCAGTTTCCTAACTCTTAATTCAGTGTGTTCTAGATGTCTTTGCTGAATGCAATTGAGTATTGAAATGATGCTTTCCCTGTTTACTTTTCTTTTGTTTTGTCTTTTTATGCAATAAGACAGGCCTGCAGTTTATCTTCCCCTATTAGGATATAAGCTCCTTGATAGTGGGGGATTTTTTTTTTTTCTACTCATACTTGTATTCTCAGCCCTTAGTGTGTGTGTGTGCATAAGTGTGTGTCTTTCCTCCTGTGACCAGTTCAGATGAGAGTCAGGTTAAAGCATCAGCTGTTCTTCCCTCCCATGCTCCTTGTTTGAATAGATGGGTACTTGTTCACCCTGATTATGCATGATACTTTTCTTTAACCTTTTTTACCCTCTACCCCCTTTCCTACCTATTACTTTCCCTTTCTCTTTCCATTCTTGTAAGATCATCAGTACATAACAGAATCACTCTATGAGCACTGATGATGATAAGGCAAAGAAGAAATACATTGATTATTCCTCCATATTTGAATTTAAGTAGTTTATCCTTCTTTTGTCCCTTATGTTTGTATTTTTATAATTTTTAACTCCTGTATTTGAATTTCAATTTTTTTTCATAGGTGTTCTCTTCATTAGGAATGCATGGCAGTCTACTAATTCATTAAATTTCCAATTTTTCAAATTTGGTATTATAGTTTACTGGGTAACTTTTGTGTTTTCAAAAAAAAGGAAAACTATATCTAGATATAGATATATTTTAAAAATAGAGAAGAAAACCAAATAACTAGTATCAAAAATGAAAAGGATGAATATCCAAATAGCAAAGATGAAATTGAAGGAATTATAAAGTTATTTAGCCAAATTATATGCCAATAAACTCAATAATTTAAGTGAAATGGAAGAATATTCACAAAGTATAAATTGCCTAGATTAGCAGAAGAGGAAATAAAATATCTAAACAGGCCTATTTTAGAAAAAAGAAATTGAAGGAGCCATAAATGAGCTTCATTAGGAAAAAAGACCAGGACCAGATGGTTTACAAGTGAATGCTATCAAACATTTAAAGATAAACTAATTCCAATATTAAATAAATTATTTGGAATAATGGGTAAAGAAGAGATCCTACCAAATTCCCTTTATGAAACAAATATGATATTGATATCTAAAACAGGGAAGAATAAAAACAGAAAAACAAAATTATAGACCAATTTCCTTAATGAATATGGATACAAAAGTACTAAATAAAATACAAGATTAAAGATTAAGTGGGATTTATACCAGGAATAAAGGGATTTTTTATTAATATTTTTTTTAAATTTATCAACAATCACTTCCATAAGCATTTGAGTTTTAAATTTTTCTCCACCTCCCTCACCACCTCCCTCTCAAAGACGGCATGAAATCTGATGTAGTCTGTATGCTTACATTCCTATTAAGCATTTTCACATCAGTGATGCTGTAAGGAAGAATTAGAACCAATAGGAGGAAGTACCAGAAAAAGAAAACAAAACAAAACAAAAGAAAAAATAACAAATACTGTGCTTCTATCTGTATTCAGACTCCAGAGTCCTTTTTCTGCACGTGGATAGCATTTTCCATCATGAGACCTTTGGAGAAGTCTTAAATCCTTGCATTGCTGAAGTCTATCAAAGTTAGTCATCACACGACATGGCTGTTATTGGGTACAACATTTTCCTGGTTCTGCTCTGTTCATTCAACATCAGTCCATACAAGTTTTCCAGGTTTTTCTGAAGTCTGTCTGCTCATCATTTCTTATAGCAAAATAGTATCTCGTTATTCATGTACCACGACTTGTTCAGCCATTCCCCAACTGATAGGTGTCCCTCAATTTCCAATTCTTTGGCACCACAAAAAAAGCTGCTATGAATATTTTTGGAATGCCTAAACCACCTTCCCCTGCATTGGTTTTCATTAGTTCCCTTGAAATTGTGGACCTTTTGTTATTCCAAATGAATCTTGTTGTTATTTTTTCTAGCTGTATAAAATAATTTTTGGTGGTTTGAAATTCTTTTAATTTCTTATAGATGAGTTCATCCCAAGAACACTCACACTATGATAATTGTTTACTTCATTCTATTTTATTCTCTTCTAGTTCTCCTTCTCTATACTCTTTTGTTCCTATTTATTTAAAGTTATTGCTATTTTCCCTACTTTGAACATTTTCCTTATTAATCCCCTCTCCAAGTCTAAGGTTTGTTATATTTAAAAACACAAATAGCTTCCTGAACATACCTTCCCACTTGTATTTCCTCTTTCCCTCTTCCTTATTATTATTTTATCCTTATTCAGTTGAATGTTTATGCACTAAACTCTGTGTGTGTTCTGCCCTCTTTTGACCAGTTTAGATTAAAGTTTAATTCAAGGGACATTCACTTTCCCCACTTTATCCATGTTTGGATATATGCCTCCTTGTACAAGCTGATTATGTCTTAACAAAGCTCCCATTTTTCTCCATCTCCCATTAATGCATATTCTCCAACTGCCTGTTTCCTTACATTTTCAAAACAAAACTATTTATCATTCTTTGTCTCAGTTGACTTCCTCTATGATCCCTGTGATGATAGGGTTCCAAAAGAAATCTTTTAACATTCTTTTCTATCTCCATTAGAATATAAATAGATCTACATGTTTATTTCAAAACTCTTTTTTCAATTCAGTTTTTATCAATAATATTTGAAAATCCATTTCATTCAAAGTCCATTTTTTATTCATAGGATATAATACTCACTTTTACCAGGTAAGATATTCTTGGTTGTGGACCTTTGTATTTTGCTTCATAGAATATTTCACTCCGTGTTCTCTCTTTCTTTGAAGTGATAGCTGCCAAATTTTGTTCAGTCTTGACTATGGTACTTCAATATTTTAATTCTTTCTTTCTGACTGCTTATAGATTTTTTTCTTTTTTTCCAGAAGCTCTGAGTACAGCCAATAACACATCAAGTAGTTTTTATTTTGGAATTTCTTTTAGAATGTCATCAGTGTATTTTTTCTATTTTCAATTTTCCCACTTATTCTTAAACATCTGGATATTTTCTTTAATGGTTTCTTGAAAAATGATATCCAAGTTACTTTTGCCTTTGTGGTTATGAAGTTCAAGTCATCCTGTTGTAACTTGGCTCAAGAAACATAAGGCAGATTTATAAAATACAGACCACATTTTTGAGAATTCCAAAACTCACATTGTCACTGTGAGTGAAAAAAAATATCTTTACCCCCACCCACAATTAAATGCTGATCTACACTTAGTTTTCTTTCTGAAAAACTATAAATCCCAGAGGAATTTGGGACCCATCAACTACTTCTTGGAACTCATTACATAAAAAGTCTTCAGTTATCTCACCTTCATGTATTTTCAAGGTCAGTTTATTTTTTATATCAAATGTCTTACAGTTTCTTCAATTTAATTCTTTTGAATTTATTGTAAAAATTCTTCTTGACTTTTAGAATCATTAATTTGGTCCATTATGACTTTTGGTGATTTTTGACTACAGTAGGGTTTTATACATCTCCTGTTAAACTATAGGGCTTTATTTCCCATTTTCTCTTCCTAGAGCACTAGATTTGGAATCAGGAAGCCTTGAGTTCAAATTTGGCCTCAAACACTTACTAGCTCTATTTGCCTCTGTTTCCTCAACTGAAAAACATAGATAATCATAGCACCTATATTTAAGGCTGTTGAGTATATAAAATGATATATTTGGAAAAGTGCTTAGCACGGTGCCTGGTAAATTATAGCCAGCACATAAATGCTTGTTCCTTTCCCTCACATAGTTTTCATTCTTTTATAATTATTAAAAATGCCCTTTTATGAAAACTCCTAATTGTTGTCTGGGAATACTTTTTTCTTTAAGGTTCTGATTATAGGTACTTTTTGGGGGTTATTTTCATCTTCTGGGTTGGTGCTTTAATCATTCCTGGCATAATAAAAGTCTTTTCTTTTTCTGTTTGATCATTCATTTTCGTTGCTGAGGCAACGAGTTGAGTTTTAGATCTCCCATACTCTGCAAATGGCATCAAGTTGAGGATCTGTCCATAGTGCTAGTCTTTCTTTATGCGTTTTACACCACCACAGTCACCAAAGTTCTCTAATACAAGCAGCCATAGGTGAAGCCCTTTCCTTTGCATAAGGAAAGAAAGCAAGGAGAGGCCTTTTCTTTACTCCTCAGTTAAATCAAAGGAAGTCCTCTTGTGCTGTAAGAAACCTAACTGAGGCCTTTTCCACTGCACCTTAAGTCTATCAGGTTCCTAATAAAAACTCCAATATGTCTCATATAAGTATTTGACATCAGAGAGAACAGGAAACCATACTTTCAAATAAATTATCTATTAGAATATGAGTTGGCAACAAAATGCTATTCTTTTAAACCATGGATCTGACAAGGTATGACATTTCAATTGTTTCTCTACTATTCTTTGCAGACATTCTGACTTTTCCTTCATTAAAAGTCTTCAAAAAAATTTAACGATGGAGTTAGCTTGTTCACCTAAGAATATAACCTGAGTTCAGAAGCATTGCCTACCAGAAGACATGATGTGTAAAGCTGTGATCTATGTACACTTTTCCGTTTCAGAGATACTCTTAATCCCATTGTTCTGAGCTATATCAGTTTGCCAAATGGTCAATTATTTCCTAAGAATGGACATAATTTCTTGAGGGCTATTTTCACATCCTTGTTTCTCAAGGAGTAGATCACAGGGTTCAAGGCTGTGGTCACTATGGTATTAAACATTGAGGCTACTATGCCTTCCTTCAGAGACTGACCCAAACCAGGAAGAACGTAGATATGAATTATAGGGCAATAATACATTGCTACCACAATAAGGTGGGAGGAACAAGTGGAAAATACTCTCTTATTCCCTTCTTTGCTCTGGATCTTCAAGATGCTGGAGATGATGAAACCATAGGACACCAGAATTAGCATAAAATTGAAAGTAGCAAAAAACATGTCTGCCACAACAACCATGACATTGTTGACATAGGTTGAGGAGCAGGAGAGTGGCAATAATGGCATAATCTCACAAAAGAATTCATCAATGAAGTTGGGGCCACAAAAAGACAAGTGAACAATCAATATGATGTGTATTGTTGCATTGGTGCCACTGATAGCCCACACTGCAGATGCCATGAGGAAGCAAGCTGCCTTGCTCATAGTAGTTCTGTAGTGGAGGGTCTGGCAGATGGCTGCATATCGATCATAGACCATGGCTGTGAAAAGCATGAGCTCTGCCACCAAACACCAACTCTGCTAGAGGGTAACAACTAGAAGATTCTTTTTTGTAGAAAACATTCAGCACTTATTAGTTTGTGTATTCATTGGTCTATAAGTAGGGATTGAACAAGGATGCAGTTATGCCCAGTCATTTTGCAAAGGTCAGCTACAGAGAGCCCTGGGAAATTCTGTCATCTTACCCCCTAGAGGAGCAATTAAACTATGACTTATCTTGGACTCTGTTGAAGCTATGACACTATAATTCCAGTTAAAAGAAAATGCAAGTGCTAAGTTTTTCTTTGGTTTACCTGGCACTAAGCAAATGATGTGACTGATGTTTTGAGGTTTATTTCTCCACTAGTGAATTAACAAAATGAACTGTCTAGTAATAGGATGTTGAAATCTTAAAGAGAAAGGTCTCTAAGTTGTGCTAACAGAATTAACACATATTATGACTTCTTTACCCCTCAGAAAATAAAACAAAAAAATAGCAGAAATATAGTAACAACAACAATAAAAATCAGATTCTACAGGATACCTAAAAACGTGATAGGTAGGCCACGAGAAGCTTGAAAGTGAGCCTTTATAAACTAAGACAAATGTCCATGCTACAAAAGCAAATCTCAAACCATCTTTGAAAATTCAAAAATCTGTGATGGAAATGGAGCAGCATTATGGACAGAACTATTGCCTACAACTGCCTGATTATAACTTTAATTTCTAAATACTCAAGAACAAGGTTCTTAATAGGTGCTGTCACATCAATATTCAAAATCTCCAAATTATTTGAAAAAAAAAACGCTTTGAAAACATGGAGATTTAGAAGAGATTAAAACTTTATGGCAAAAATGTTATGTACATGTCATCTATATCATCCTATCTATTCCTGGAGATGTCCTAATGTAAATTTAATTGAATCATCACAAGATCAGCATACATTCTAGCAGTATTATTCAATTACAGAAAGCATTTATCTCATCTGCCTGCACAAAGTTCCACAATGTATTAAACATGGAAAAATAATAGGTCTTTGGTCTAAGAGAGAAGACCAAATGACCATCCTTTCATTAATAAATGTGCTCGTCTTGTTAATAAAAATATTAAATTAGAAAATTAACCTCTGAAAGCCCAGAAAATATCACCCCAGGAAAAACCCTGGAACAGCTGAACCAGAAGAAGGATGGGGTGGAGCAGTCCAGTAGCCCAGGCAGCTTGAGGGATTAACGGGAAAGACCCCTCTCGCCCTGGGAGAAGGCGAGCAGTACCAAATGGGAGGTATCCCAGCAAAGTAGCAGAAAGCCCCACCTCCCCATACCAATAGGAGATCTTAAAACCCAGGTGGTAGGGTAAGCAAACACCAACACCTGGACCTCTGAGTGCCTCAGTGAAGGTGGGGGAACTGGTGGAAACCACGTTTGAAAACCACCAGGTGCCACAGCATTCTACAACTGCCTCTCCCTCTGCCTCAGCAAAACTAAGGGAAGCAGTGCTCCAAGGGCCCCAACAGATCCTGCAACATCCACCTGAAAGAAGGTGAAGAAATTAAAATGAAGGAAAGGCCCAGGTGAACAGGAAATCTCCAAGATCCACACTACTGAATCCCACCGCTAGAGTTCCAGTGTTGCTGATTCCAGCCCAACAACAGGTAAGCTGGCAAAACACTACCACCTCCTACTGCAAGCATTGGAGACCCCAGTACACAAAGCCAGGGAGCAGGCCCTATGCTCCCAACACAAGAAGTCTGGGTCAGTGCCCTCTGCTCCCCAGCAGGAGAACTCAATCTCTTTAAAGGCCAGGAAATAAGCAAACACTATGAGCTCAAAGAAAGGTACGATAGATTATTATTATGAAAAGAGTGAAGATCAAGGCAGAAATTCTGAAGAGGATAACACTGTCAATAGAACCTCAAAAGGGAAGATGAACTTGTCAGAAACCCAAAAGGCCTTCTTAGAAGAACTCAAGACAGATTTTAAAAGTCAAATGAGAGAGGTAGAAGAAAAAATGAGACAATAAATGAGAGGTATGCAACAAAGAGTCAATAGCTTTGAAAAGGAAGGACAAAAATTAACTGTAGAAAATAAGTTCTTAAAAAGTACAATTGGCCAACTGGAAAAAAGTACACTAAAGCAAACAAGTCCCTAAAAGATACAATTGTCTAAATGGAGAAGGAGCTACAAAATCTAATAGAAGAAAACAATTTGTTAATAATTAGAATTGGGCAAATGGAAGCCAATGACTCTATGAGAAAGCAAGAATCAGTCAAACAGAAACAAAAGAATGGAAAAATAAAGATGAAAAGGTAAAATACGTCATTGGGAAATCAACTGACCTGGAAAATTGATCCAGGAGAGACAATTTAAAAATTATTGGTATACCTGTAAACCACAATGAAAAAAAGAGCCTGGATAGCTTCTTTCAAGAAACCATAAAGGAAAACTGCCCTGAGGTCCTAGAACCAGTGGGTTAAATAGCCATAGGAAGAATCCATAGATCACCTCCTGAAAGAGATTCCAAACTGACAATGCCAAGGAATATAGTAGCCAAATTCCAAAACTGCCAAGTCAAAGAGAAAATACTGCAAGTAGCTAAAAAGAAACAATTTAAAAATCATGGAACCACAGTTAGGATTACACAAGACCTCACAGCTTCTACATTAAAAGAACATAGAGTGTGGAATATGATATTCTGTAAGGCAAAGGAGGTTGGATTACAACCAGGGATCAACGACCCAGCAAACACGAGCATAATCTTTCAGGGGAGGAGATGGACATTCAATGAAATAGAGGACTTCCAAACCTTCCTGATAAAGAGACCAGAGCTCAACAGAAAATTTTATTTTCAAATACTAGACTCGAGAGACATAAAAAAGTAAATGGTACAGAAAGAAACATGTTATTAATAAGGATAAACTGTTTACAATCCTACAAGGGAAGATGACACTTGCAATTCTTCAGAACTGTATTGTTATTACACCATGTTAAAGGGGTATACATAAAGGGGGTGGGTATAAATTAATTTTGATGTAAGGATAAAAAAATCGAATCAAGCATGCTATCTTAGGGAGGGAAGTGGAAAGGGAGGGAGAGAAAAATTTAAAACTCAAAAGCTTATGGAAGTGAATGTTGATAAATCAAAATAAATTAATAAAAAAAGAGATTAAAAAATAAATGATTGTTTCCTGACAATAAATAAATAACTGAATATATTAAATTAACTCAAAAATAATATCAACATAATGATTTGGGCTTTTCTATCTGTATTCTATCAAGAAATATAATGAAGTGATGGAGATGATGGTTATAACTTTTGGTTAGATACAAGCACTATGCAATCCTAATATTTTGTTTAATCATTTTTCAGTTGTGTTGAACTCTTTGTGACCCCATATGCAGTTTTCTGGGCAAAGATAATGGAATAGTTTGCCATTTCCTTTTCCAGTTCATTTACCAGATGAGGGACTGCATCAAACAAGGTTAAGTAACTTGACCAGAGTCACACAGCTAGTAAATATCTGAGGCCAGATTTGAACTCAGAAAGATGATTGTTCCTAATTACAAGTCCAGTTCTCTATCCACTATGCCACATAGCTACATAAGCCTTATATATGTATAGTATAATTAAAATATATCAGTAATATATGGATAACCCAATGAGGTGGCAATTGTAGAATGCTCTCTTTTCCCCAGTACTGTCTGGATTTTAATTACATATACATAATGAACACAGAGGACACCAAAGTAAACAGAAAATGTCCAATCACATAGAAGGTATCTGCCAAGAGAGTCCTACCACTGTTTATATAGGTGGAAATACAGGAAGATGATAAGAGATGGGGGGAGGGGAGGGAATTTCACAGAAGACATGAGTAATGGCATTAGATTCACAACGGGAAAGTTGCATTAGAAGAATAGTGTTTAATGAATAAATAAAAGCACAGATGTAGCACACACTAGACACTAAGACAATACAGAGTATTTTTGGCAATCATGCATTTCCATGACTGGGAAAAGAAGCAGTTTAGATGATGTAGACTATGTGAAGAAGTAGAAAAGAGTCACATATGCTTGACTGTGTGAAGCTCAAGTGTGTGTGTGCGCGCACACGTGTATGTGTGTGCGTATGTGTGTGTGTCTTTCCTCCTGTAACCAGTTTGAATGAGAGTCAGGATAAAGCATCAGCTGTTCTTCCCTCCTATCCTTCTTGTTTGAATAGATGGTTACTTGTGCACCCTGATTATGCAAGATACTTTTCTTTAACCTTTCTTGTCCTCTGCCCCCTCTCCTAGCTATTACTTTCCCATTCTCTTTCCATTCTTCTAAGATCGTCAACATATAACAGCATCACTCTCAGACTACTAGTCTAGACTACCTCTATGAGCACTGATTATGGTGAGGTACAGAAAAAATGCCTGTCTTATTCTCCTATAATTCAATTTAAGTAGTTTATCCTTCTTTTGCCCTGTATGCTTATCTTTTTATGATTTTTTAACTTCTGTATTTGAACTTCAAAGTTTTTCCATAGCTATTCTTTTCATTAGGAATGAATGTCAGTCTTCTATTTTGTTAAAGATCCAACCTTTTAAACTGTGGTATTATACTTTGCAGGATAACTTTTGTTTTTTTTTTCAAAAAAAGTAAGACAATATCTAAATATAGATATATTTTTAAAAGAGAGAAGAAAATCAAATCATTAGTATAAAAATGAAAAGGGTAAGTATACTAATATCAAAGATGAAATTGAAGGAATTATAAAGGAATATATAAATTTAACAATTTAAGTGAAATGGAAGAATATTTACAAAAATATAAATTACCTGGATTAGGACAAGAGGAAAAATACCTAAAGAGACCTATTTTAAACAAAGTAAATGAAAAAGCCATAAATGATCTTCATAAGTTAAAAAAAAAAAAAAAAAGACCAGGACCAAATGGATTTACAAGTGAATACTACCAAACATTTAAAGATCAACTAATTCCACTGTTATGTAAATTATT